GGGGGGGGGCGACCATATATATATGTATATATATATATGTATTTGCATATGTGTAACTATATATATACATATATATACATATATATACATATATATACATATATATATATGTAATATATATATAGATAGAGTAAACCCCAAAAAGTTGGAAACCGGATTAAGGACAATTAGTGCTGGGATTCCATTTACATTACTCTTCAGGATTGAGGCGGTTGGGTTTCCAACTTTTGTGCTTTTACTGTATATACGTATATGTACATAAGTATGTATGTACTCATGCATGTATGTATGCATGTATCAATGCCTGCAAGGATGGGTGGATGGACGGATATGTACATACATAGAAACAAGCATATACACACACACACATACATGCATACACACAAACATAAGTACACGCATACGTGCATACATACATACATACATACATACAAGCATGCGTGCATGCATACATACATATATGCATACATACATGTATGCACGTATACATGTATACATGCATACATGCATACATGCATACACTATACCATTTAGATATCGACCATCACCGATGGCGACTGCTGTGGCGGGTTCGGCTGTGGGGTTGGCTACGACAGCACTTCGCACGGTGGTGCTGACGTCGATTATGATGGTGAGCATGGTTCTGTGAGAACACCGTGGCGCAAGCAGCTGGCAACATTAGATGAAGCTTCTGCTACCGGAGCCGCACATGAATCCCTCAAAGCATGAAATGCAGCTTCGAGACCTGTGTTTCAAAGCACTGCTGTGAGATTAAAACCGGGAGTGTTGGCAATAGCAGCGACACCAACCTAGCAAGATCATGCGCTGGAAAATGTCGCCAACCCTCTCGCCCGGGTGGGAGGCATTAGAGCCATTCATCATCATCGCCAGGGGACCCCCGCTGACGGATCCAGCAGAGGCACCTTGGAGGGTTCTGCAGGAATCGATATGGTCACTTGTTTTGTTCAATGCGTTTTCTGTTGGACGTGTGCAAGAGAACATCACTCGTACCGAAGATGCATATGAGTGACATGCTGATGCTGTGTGGCGTCAGTCGCATTTTCCGTTGCATCGTGAGCTGTTTGAGTTGGGCTTTGTCCAGTCCCAGATCCATTAAACATTAACTAGTAATCACGTAAATATTTGCAGACAGAGAAAGAATCCAGAGATACCACAGTGCTTCCACCAACACCACAATAGTAGTGGAAGATTGGTGGAGCAATGGTGCACTCATCAGCGCAGTTACGGCAATTCAGTTGCGAGTGGCTCACCCTGCATGCTGCCGTAGCAAACCCCGCTCCCAAGTGGATGGCGATGACGACCTCTGAAGCGGTTCTAGGCGATACAAATCCATGCTGTAGAGCTTCCCAACCCCATCAAGAGCGAAGCCCGCCAGAGGTGCAGGGACTAGCTGGGGCCTCGCCCGCTCTGCAGCATTTGGGTCTCGGGTCGCGGGGATTTGGTTGTGCGTAACTTCGGGAGTACATGCGCATCGTGTTCGTTGTGGAAGTGTTTGGGTCTGGGGGACCTGGGTGATCTGGCATACTGTTGCACGGGAGTTGGGGGTCGAGGTTCGGAGTAGCCCGGTGCAGCTCTGAAAGATGTTTGATTGCTCTCGCTGGTGTGCAGCAAGTGTGGGAGACTTGGTTCTCCATCCAAGTGCCTCTTGACTGAGTCACTGCTGATAGAAGAAAACGATCTGACGTAGTGCAATGAGGAATGTGATTAACCCTTTTCATCCGGTTTTTGAAGCTGCAGAAGGATAAGCATGGAAATACTGTCCACGTATTCTGCACAACTGGGGCTCGTTGATGATGCTGATGATGTTTTCGCCTTTCCTTGCACAGTTGCGAGCTTGACTGGGTTGACACGTAGCTTCCTGGTTGCACGATGTTGAGGTTTCGGGAGTGCCTTCGTCCTCCAATTTGAAGCCGTTTGCTTAGATTAGGGTCTGGTGTGTCAACTTCTGCCACCGACTTGCTTTAAGCCAAGGCCCCGAGCCACAACTTTAGATACACCACTCAGCTCCCCAACCCGCACCAACCACCAGACAAGTATCCTAGACCGTCCACTTAGACCCTGATAGTGTGATACTCCACAGGAATCAATAGTTGTATTCTCCAAGCAACACCGGCATTCCTTCCAAGCTTTTTTGTTTGTCGTTTTGGGTCTGCATAATATGCCCGACCCTCCTGCCGCATGGCGTCAGCCAGCGGGCGCGTCGGGGCCCCGAATACCTCTAGGCAGTGTTCGGTCCGGAGTGTTCTTCGTAGTGTAACCATGGATGCCATAGATCTTGGCCGAGGCTTTTTGGGCAGAAAGGAACGGCTTGCAGACCTGCAGTTCTGTGGTTTTTCCGGAACGATCTTCGTCGAAAGTTGATCATGATTGCATTCGTCCACCCTAAGCTAAGCCTTGCCCCAGCCCAATCTGACTAAGCCTTGTTCCTTCTGTCGACCCGCGTTCTAAGTGGATGGTTTGGTGGAGGCGAATCTTCCGTTTAAGGGAATGTCACTGCGACCCGATGACCCCATTCTTTGTGCATTTCCCTTCGATGATGGGTCAGCCTGAAACTTTAAAGCTCTACTACAAGATTTGGCTGGTTGCACCTGCAACCCAACCCCTCCACAGTGACAGTATCAGTAGAATTATTCAGTCATTGAGGTTCCATAGGGGGAGAGAGAGAGAGAGAGAGAGAGGGAGCAATGGCGGACTTAGTCTATTCATACCTTCATGTTGCATCTGCATAAGATGCACAAAGGACAGTTTTGTCCGGGAATTTCTTGCTCTGCAGAGCCTTTTCCAATTGTTTGCCTGTCCGACCTGACATTGTTCGAGCCAGTCTGGCAAGTTTTGTCGTTGCAATTCCTGCGCGAGACTGGACTTGACGAGTACTGTGGTTGCCACTTCCATGTTATCTTCAAATATTGCGTGCTCGAGCCTCTCCACCATTCCATCCTACGGCTCTCGCGCCTTTCCCCTGCTCTCTGCAATGGCATTGCCAATGAAGAAGATTGTGATGAAGGCCATGAAGTCCACGGCGATGAAGGTCAAGGCCCCGAAAGGCATGAAGGCCGACAGCCCTAATGACGTGTTGTGCATTTCGTTGAGCGCTTTTCAGCCAGCCAGTGTGTACGGCGTGCTTGCTTGCGCCTCGCCATCAGGCCATGAAGAAGAAAGCTATCACAAATGTCGCCCGTGGCAAGCTGGCCAAGATGGTCGTCTTCAAGGGTCGCAAGGAGCTGCGGCCGACCGGGATGGTATTTCCTAAGTAAAATCCTGAACTAACTCGGATTGTGTTGGATTGTTGGATATCCGCATTCGATACTGTAGCTGGCTCTGTTGTGCCTCTTTTCTTTGAACTAGTGTCTTCAGGAAAAGACTGCGACGGGCCTCCAGAAGGCTCAGCTCATGAAGAACAAGCGTGGCAAGGCAAGGAGGGCCTCCCACATTCTTTCTCCATGTGTCTGTCTTTCTCTGCCTGTGTCTCTTTCCCTGTCTCGCTGCCGCTCTCTCTACCTGACACTAGTCCCTTTTTTCCTCGTACTTTCCTTGTGCCATAGCAATCATGCAAGACATATTTATGAGGCAGCAATTAAGAGGCTGCTCGTGCACGCTGCAGCAGGTTGTTACAAAGAAGCAGCATGCCCGTGGCAAAGCGCTGTTCCAGAAGTTTGCCCAGCGTTGGCTGGACGCCGTCATGACGGCCAGGAAGGAGCTTGGTGTGAAGGGTTTTTGCGCTATCGGTGGCAAGAGTGCTCAGGGCAAGGCACTCTATGCCAAGGCGAAAGCGCTTTATGCAGCTTGAGCATGACTCGATGTGTGAGCTTTCGTGGTCGTTCACGGAGCGCGCACACACGCTGCTGCTTAGTGTGTACAGCAGATCTCTTGCTCTTTGAGATCACGGGAGCTCTTTCGGGCTGGTTTCGAAACACCGCGCGGTGTGTTGCACCACCTAGGCATGGACCAAGTTGCTGTTTGCAGAGGCTTTCTTCAAGCTGTTTTGTGTCGCTCACATCATACCTTTATGGCTTCTTTACAACTACTGTAATTATCGTACTTGGTCCTATTTGGTCCTCCTTAGGCTTTCATTTGTTTGAATGCAATGCAGGACCGCCAAGGGCTTCGGCTTTTCTGCCTGTAAGATAGAAGCGTATTGCAGGTATACAGAGTTAAAACACAGCTAGTCATGTCTGTGTGCATGTCGTTGTGTGTATACATACATACACATATACCTGTGCAATTAATTGCTCGTGAGACACGCATGCATACCTAAACTACTACAGTGCAAGCTACTGTACTGAGGGGTGTGTGTGTGTGCATATAAATAAATAAATAAATATATATATATAGGTATATGTATATGTATTTTTATATGTATATGTGCATATACAGATGTGTGCATAAACGCACACATACACATACATGAACACTGTGCATCCAAGAAACTGCAAAAGCAGTATTACAACACCGCTAGCGCCACCACTCCCACCACCCACCGCCGCTACCCGCCACCCGCATGACCACCACCAACAACGACGCCGCAGCAGCAGCAGCAACAGCATCATCCACACCAATACTTAGTACTTCTGATGGCGGTCCATTGATCCAACCTAACCTAAACATGCAGGCATAGTTCTGGCCTGAGCTATGCTGGTGCAATGGCCTGGTACCCCAGACCTGGCCCATTTCTCTCACCTCCTGTCCAAAATGTGGGACTGGTATATAAGACTTGAGAAATTTGGGTTTTCACCCTGTTGGCTTAGAAATCCGTGCTGACATTGCCGAGGCCGTTCGGGCCCAGCTTCAGTTGGATGATGATGCCATCGAGCAGAAGCAGCCGCAGGTAAGTGCAATTCAGCGGTTCGGCTCCTGTTAAGGTCGTCACACGAAACCAGTCCTACTTGAAACAGCCCGCCTGAAACGCTGTGCTTGAGCTCCACCAATCTTGGGAAGATGATTTTGGGATTGTTCCAAACCTCAACCCCCTTGCCAAACTAGACGGCGAGAAACATGCCAGCAAAGGGACAAAGGAGCATCATCCGGGAGACTCTGGGCATCGGCTTGTGGGGCAATGAATGTGATTGCCAGGTTGATCAGGGTTTGGGGTTCATGATGGGATCCCAAAGGGAGGGGGATCCAAGGGGATATATAATACCTAGTAATCCCCAATTCTACCATGCTCCCTAGGGTTTCCGAAGATTCACCAGTACCTTCCCCCCTTGAAGCACCCTCCCTGAAGCATCCTATATCATAAGTTTAGGGCTTAGGGTCTAGTTGAAGGTAACTTTCTTGGAGGGGACGGTCAGGGTTCGGAATGTATATGAGCAGTTTCTTCTTTGTAGGCGGCTGGGGACCTCGAAAGGTGGCACCTCTTTTTCTTGTGACGGGGGAAAGGGCTGAGGGTTCGGAGGCGGTGAACGGGTTTGGGGATTGTGGGATTTAGCGCTTGGGTTAGCGTTTAGGCATTCTGGTTGTTCCTCGGGCTACGGGTACAGAAATATTAAACATGCTAGGCCCACAGATTTGAGAGGAAGCCAAACGCATCCCCAGCCTCAAACACCCTTTATATCTAGACATGCTAGATTTTCCCCACTCGTAGACAAAAAGGCTTTCAGACCCCAACCAACAAGTCGGAGCCGTATGGAACCCCACCAAATGAACCCCCACGAGGAGCCGCCACGAGCGTCGCCTCGATCGGGCTCCAAGCATCGCCGTCGAGGCAAGGCTGCTTTTCATGAAAGCATTTTTCATCAGCCTTATGCATAAAAGGTTGTTCCAAACACGGAGCCATCTCAAGCGTTCAAGCTCCGTTGAAACCTTGCTTGAACTGTGGGCTGTTGCAGGAGGCTTGTGGGATAAGTTAACGTGCTTGCTTGTTCTTGAGGCGGGGGTACCGGGTAGCGTGTGGGCCTCACGGTTGTCCGGGGCTACGAGCATTTAAGAGTTCAGGACTTTTAGGCTTTCGATGTGTTTGTCAATGCTTGAGGCCAGGGGGGGGTGGGGGGGGGCGGGGGCTGGGAACTTTATGGGCTTGGTGCTGTAGCTCGTAGGTTCAGAATTCTTCGAAGCTGGGGTGGCTTGGGATACGAGGTTTTAGCACCCAGTCACACCAGTGTTTAAAGTTTGCACAGCCTTTTCGTGTTCAGGGGCTCACGGTGGAGCTTGGATTGGGCTCCAGAAGCGACATTGACAGCTTTTGGTCCATCCTAACACCCCGGAGCATTCAGCCTGACCCCACACCCAGAAAACCTAGTTTGACGACAAACTCCAGAGCGTGGCTTGCACAACCCCACGTGGCCAAACGTTGGCAGGTCTCTGAATTGGTACAGCAAAAGGGAATAAGACAACACGTTACCCGGACAGAGCTCACAGTTCAGAGCATCCTCAAGGCGCTTTCCTGAAGACAGCCTCGCGCCCTGTCGGACAGCCGTCAAGAGAGAATTTGTTGGCGGAGGCGGGGCCAATCTGCGACATGATGACCATGTCGATGATTGTGATGATGATGATGATGATGATGATGTGGATGTGCTTGATGATTATGGATGGTGATTGATGAAGAAGAAGATGATGATGATGATGATGGGGAGGAGGAGGATTATGCGGATGATGGCGATGATGAAGATGATGATGAATATGACAGTGATGATGATAATAACGATGGTGGTGATGATGATGATGATGATGGTCATCATGATGATGATGATGATGACGATGATGATTCAGATGTTCATGATGATGGTGATATTATCGCTGATTGTGGTGAAGATTGCTGTGATGATGATGCCGCTGCTCTTGTTGAGCACGTTGGGCATTGGTCCTGCTTATCAGCATTGGCATCACGTCATGTGGCTGCAGTATGACTACCCACATCTGATCGCCATGACTACATCACGGATGCTGTCACTGTTTTGTGAATAGTCATCGCCACCTGGGTCCTCGTACTAAAACGTCCTGTTGTGTAGTGTATGATTCAAGCGGAGCAGAAATCATCCCAGGACGGTGGCCGTGCCCGTTGATATATGGTTTGGGTGACGAAGATAAATGACGACGATGAGTAAGGTGGTGATGGTGGTGGCGGTGGTGGTGGTTAAGCAGCCAGCCTGAGTCAGGCTTAGAATCACCGCGCAGCCAGGCCGTCCCGGATTTGCCGTCAAGCACCAAGATTCAACCGATGTGAAGCTGCAAGGTTTCGGCTCACTACTGTTGCTGGTATCATACTAATGCCATCAAGGTTGTTGAGGGTCCCCTTTCCTTCTTACTGCTATCAGGTTGCACAGCTCTCGTTGATTACACTTTTGGGGGAAGTCTGGGGAGCTTGAGTTTCTTTCGCCGGACAGTAGAAGCTGCTCTCATGCTGCAGGACGTCGGGCACAGAGTTTGGGCAGTTGCTCTCAATCTTGCACGCGTAGAATTCTGAGCCCGCATCATCCACCAATGCATAGGGCCACGCCTGATCTGCTCCTCACTCCACCAGGGACATGGCCCTCTGAGGCCCGACGAGCCTATCGTTCCGCTCACGGTTACGCGTGTGGGATCCCGAGACAGGAAGAAGTGACCTCAGGTAAGGTACTGAGGCTTTCGAATTCGAGGCTGGGCTCTATGGGATTTATTGCTTGCAGGTTTTGCCGTTTATTTATGGCGTGGAACATCGTCGCTCACTTGATGATTGCACGGCTTGGGCTTTGGGTTTGTTGCATTGTTGGCATAGATGTGCCTTTTGACGTTTCTCGATTTTAGGGTTCAGTGCCACGGAACCTGTATAAGCAATGTTTTCCGGCTACAGTTCAGCAGGAAATGGGCGAGCAGTCCTGAGGATTCAATATTATGAGCCACCGTCGCAAGCGGAAGCTCAGTTGCAGACACGGTGACGAGGGAACAGAAGGGGTCTCCGAGCCCGGGATCTGCCGATGTAAGCGGACAGGGTTGAAGCACGCCGGCGCAAGAACTACAAGAGAGAGAGAGAGAGAGAGATGCCCCTTCAGATAACTTCAGCCTGAAGGTTTACTTGTCGGTAGGAGGTTCCATAGGTCCTGGGTTGAGCTTTTCTTGTTTGGTTGGTTTTCCTTCAGGATTCTGAAGCAACTTTTGGCATCACGTTCCTCACATGGCAACACATTACTTTTCAGTCGACAACAAGTCACCGCCCTGGGAATAACCCAAAAGGCTCTTCGTCAGGAAAAGCTCGCCGTCTTTCTGTTAGGGGTTCACCCGTTCACCCCTTTGCTTGTTGTCTATCCTACCTTGTTTGCTTTGACATGCGGCGACGAAGTCTGCCTTGGTGGTGCATGCATGCAGAATCCCCAAATCGCCGCGTAACAAACGGGGGTGCTTGATGCGCGCGGGCCGGGGTCTCAAGCCCCTGCCTCTAGCCCTGGCGAAAGAAAGAGAGAGAGAGAGGGAGACACAAAAAGAGAGCTTGCTCGTAATCATCCTCGTCATATTCCAGGGTGTCGCCGTCTGTCGCCGCCCTTATCATGTTGATTTTGATCTATCGGCGCTTTGAACGACATCTGCGACATCGACACCAGGTAGGACTGTTGGACAACAGAACAGACTCATGCAGAGATGCTCGTGTCGCCAACTTCTTCGTAGGATGCGGCCGGCGAGTAGTAGGACGCTAGCCTGCTTGTGGCATGAGTCAAGGCGCCGCATTTTTGGAACATCTGCGTGTCATCGCAAAGAGTAGGCATTGTTCAAGACTCTGCTTTACCGGTTTCAGTAGACCCCTACGTCGAAGCCGCCATCTTGAACATGAACGATTCCTGAACTACATGAACACCTTAACACCCCAAACCCTGGACCTGT